AAAATTTTTGAATTGCGAGACACAAAATTTTTTATATAATTTCAAAGAACTTAAATCTAAGCGGGAATTTAAAGACTTTAATTTATATTATTTTTAATATGACGGCAAAGTACAAACTTGAATGAAATTTGTTGAATATTTCTTACGAAATTGCATTTTAAACGTTCATCATTTTAAAAATATGATAACGCAGAAAGTATATGACTGATTTCGTTCTAATTTTTTATTTTGCCATACACGTGATGTTTACAATACATACCGAGGAAATCTATTTTTCCTGAGGATAAATTGGTTTTCTCTCAGTACTCAACAAGGTGAAAATACTGGGTTGGTAAATTTTAAGGCAACTTTCTTCAGCCTGCTCGAAAACGAAATGGTTATAAAGCTTTGATGAAGTGTGTTATGTATCTTTCCTGGGGGATAAATTGGTTTTCTCTCAGTACTCAACAAAGTGAAAATACTGGGTTGGTAAATTTTAAGGCAACATTCTTCAGCTTGCTCGAAAACGAAATGGTTATAAAGCTTTGATGAAGTGTGTTATGTATCTTTCCTGGGGGATAAATTGGTTTTCTCTCAGTACTCAACAAAGTGAAAATACTGGGTTGGTAAATTTTAAGGCAACATTTTTCAGCTTGCTCGAAAACGAAATGATTAGAAAGCTTCGATGAAGTATGTTATGTATATTTCCTGGGGGATAAATTGGTTTTCTCTCAGTACTCAACAAGGTGAAAATACTGGGTTGGTAAATTTTAAGGCAACTTTCTTCAGCTTGCTGGTAAACGAAATGGTTATAAGGCTTTGATGAAGTATGTTATGTATCTTTCCTGGGGGATAAATTGGTTTTCTCTCAGTACTCAACAAGGTGAAAATACTGGGTTGGTAAATTTTAAGGCAACTTTCTTCAGCTTGCTCGAAAACGAAATGGTTATAAAGCTTTGATGAAGTATGTTATGTATCTTTCCTGGGGGATAAATTGGTTTTCTCTCAATACTCAACAAGGTGAAAATACTGGGTTGGTAAATTTTAAGGCAACATTCTTCAGCTTGCTCGAAAACGAAATGGTTAGAAAGCTTTGATGAAGTTTGTTATGTATATTTCCTGGGGGATAATTTGGCACGAACAAGGAGCGTTTTTGCTTACGAACAAGGAAAGAATATTTGACAGGAAAATGGTCTGCAAGGATGCTTGCTTAACCTGACATTAATCGCAATGGGGATTATGTTTTCTGAGGAATAAATCAGATACTTCAACAAGAAAAGAAGATTTAGTCAGGAAATTTGGCGATGAAGTTATTCATATAATTCAACAGTGAAATTATTAAAATGCATTAGGAAAATACTAAGTGTTCTTTAGAGAATAAATCTGTTTCCCTCTTTGCTAGTCAACAAAAAAACCTCATCAATAGGGGAACTTAGTGCAAAGTCACTTGCGTAATTTATAGTATAGTCAAATTAGGCGAAAATTTCACCAAAGAATGACATTCAAAATAATAGGCGGGACCCATTGGAATTTATTTAGTTGGCCTCAAATGGCCACAGATGAAAATCCCTATAAATCTGGTGACGGTTTTTTCACCATTTTTAAAAAAGAGTCTACCAGTTTGAATTTTTCTAAGATTAACGAAACTGCTACTGCAAGTGAACTATTAGACCTAGAGCATTCATATTTCATCAAAACGTGCATAAAATGTTTTTTCTTTACTTAAAATCATAAAATTTTGTGTTTGCCAATTTAAAAGGAGATATTTAAAAGAAAAATTATAATTTTTTAAATACGTTTTTTGGGAAATAGTTGTTTGTTTTGGAATTAAACTTATGATTAGCAGGCTATTACCCATTGGTATTTATTAATGAGGAACTCAGGTAGTATCATATGAAAATCTTATAAAATCTTAGTGCAAATTTCCTGCCATTTTGAAAAAGTAGACTGAGTAATAGGATTTTTCTACTGTCCACAAAAAATAGCAATAAAGCTGACAATGATCATGTTTGTATCAAAATAAGTATAAGAGTATGTTTTTTAATTGAATAGGGAAAAGTTTAGATTTGTAACTATTGGAAAATATTTAGAGAAAAACTGCATTGTTTTTTAAATGTAAAAAGTGAATCCATAAAATTTAAACTTATTTTTCTATGTATTCATATTTTGTAAAGACCAATATATGACAGGTAAATTTTAAGATTGTTATTTTGCAAATGAAAGCATCTACTTAAGTAAATAAATAATGCAAAAAAGAAAAACATTTGTTAAAAAAAATTCTATTGAGAAAATTCCTGGTAAATATTTTTATAAGGTTTTGATATAGAATAAAGTATCTAAGTCATCATCTCATTAAAATTGTTTACATAGTATAGACGGAAAATTTCATTCGAAATAACCGATGATTATACCCCACTTGTTTTGTGTTTTTGCACGAGAAATGTTGCTGTAACCACTGTTAAGAGGTTTTCCGGAACAACCTCTTTTGTTGTTGTTAGAAAGTTACCATTATCTAGTTTCCAGCCCCATTCAGTTGGTGATATATCTTAACTGTTGTATCTATAGGCATAAATGATATGAATACTGACATGCTACTTCAAAAGTAGGAGAAAATAAATTGAACATATTACTGACTTTCTGCCTGTTTTTGAATAGATTCTAGGCTTTGCTTTATGAAGATCAGGTTGTCCTTTTACCCCATACATTACCAAGGAAAATATTTCTCCAGCTTGCTGCGATTGATTCGGGCGAAGAAAAAGCTCTAATTTATACATTTAACTGGTTTCAAAAATTTTTATTCATTGAAAGTACTTTACCTTCCCTTTTCTAAATAGAGAAGAGTTGGTATCATATTCACAATAATTGCAAGTAGAATCTGTGCGAAATGTTTAATTTCACCTAATTGACTCTGCATGTGATATATTATGTACGGTAATGTTTCTCTTTTTTCCCGAGCATTATCATGAAATTATTTTTTGTTGCATGGTTATTTAAGAATGCGAAAAGATTAGTATCTTGTACAAGTACAGGCTATTATACTGATTGCTTCTCAAACAATTAAAGTATCTGCACCATTAATTGCTTGTTTAAAATTGCAGAAGATAAATTTTCAATTTAAAAATAAATGTTTGGTTTTTTTATTTAACAGAAAATCACATAGGAGAAAGTTATTGTCGATATGATGATATCTCACTTGTCTGAATAACATTGTAAAATGCGTACATAAGCGTCAGTGCCAAATTGCATTTAAAACGCTTGTAACTTTTAAATTATTAATGATATTGTCTCCGGATTAATTTCATTCAATTTAGCTTGAAAAGTAACATTAAAATATATCTTAGATGCTCAGATAACTCCTGGGTAACAATGCAAATTGCAAACATAAGTACGTGTCAAAATAAGTATTTTTAATGCATAAGAACTCTTGCAACTTTTGAATTATTTGTTTTATTGACTTTTGTATGGTCTCATTTAATGCAGAGGGAAAATATACCTTAGAACTAGATACATTAGGTTAAGCTTCAATAATTTCGGTACTGTTGTCTTAATGGTGGTTATCTCACTTAATGTAACCACTGGGGCTTCACAACGAAAGTCCTGTAACTTATATTTATCAAATAAGTAAACTAAAAAGAGGAAAAGAGGAAGAGCCATTCGAAACGTTGAAATTAATTTCATTTAACAAATATGCTAAGATGTACACGTTTTGCTGATTTGAAGATTTCTATACAGCAAATATACAAAGAATGATACCTAATTTGCTTATACCGGTAAAGTCATGTCCACCATTAAATCATTAATGTAGTATTAAAAAAAGGAAAACGAAACAAACCACCCTCAATAACATGAGATGCAATAAATGTATTTTCACATTATAGGACTTATTCTTAATGGTTTAAGGGATTGACTTCAAATATGCTAATTAGTTCGTGAAGACGATGTTTTAAATTACGAAAATAAACATTAGAAAAGCGTATTTTCTTTGAGTAAGCATAACTTTCTTTCGATGGATTTTGGCCCCTTAATGTTAATTTTACTTTTTGAGTATTCACTATATTTTGGTTGTCAAAATTCATAATTCGTCAAAAAGAGGTATATTAATTCAGAAAAGTATATTTTTGTGTCCGATTTCGTGACTTGAAATATCGTCCACACTAATTAATTAGCATCTCTTAGCCTCTCTTCGAGGCATTAGCATTGGTTACTCTCTCGAGCCATTAAGCTCGTGTCCTAGAGGGTGAAAATACAATCATTAGATCAAAAGTTATTAGAAATGTTTTTTTTTAGTTGTGCACACAAAGACACAAAGTGTTCGATAATGATTTGTCATTCATAATTCTCTATTAAAATTTAAAACAACAATACTTCTGTTATTGGAAAAAATGCAACCTATCTATATATTTTCCCATTTGATTTTTAAGAAAATGTTTTTAAAATCATTGTTAGAAAGCAAAAACAAATTATAAAAACAAACTTCTTTTTTATGTCATTGAAAGCTGATAAATCATAAATATGTTTTTTATTTTGGAATTTGAGAAAAAACTTTAATGAATATAAATTTACAGAAAAATTACGAAACAAATGATGAAAAAATTACATTTGAAATTAATTAGTATAATGATACACGATAACTCTTAAGAACTTCATAATCTTTGAATCTTTTATTCTTTCCTAAACATCTTCGTTAGATTTTTAAGTGATGAATGAATAAATAGGACTGAAAGCCAGAATAGTATTACAAATAAATACTTGGTAGATTCCAATTTTGGCAAAAAGTGTAGGATTTAATCTTAAATATGATAGATATCAAATATTATTCAATGAGTTATCCCGATATTTTATGTTCTTATTGAAGTATTTTGATCTCCTGTGAAAATCAACTTGTTTTTTTTGAATTAGTGAAAGCTTGGAGTTGTACTATAATAACAAAATACCACAACAGATGGCGTTGGAATATCACTATCGATTTTTGTTGGTGGTCCTGTAATAAATAAAGGGAGAGAGAAACGAACGTTCCTCTGAATCCTGAGTCTTACCGATCCATGCATCGGAAGGGATGCTCCGACATCTGTTGAACATTCCTTCGCATCAGAACTCTACGTTTTCCCCTCCCAACTGTTCTCCCGGTCCTGTACGGAAGGGGGCAGGTTTCGATTAAGTACAGGTTTGGAAGCTTCATTCAGCGTTTATAAAAAGCAACAAGCTTTTAAATTCTTCCAATATCGATAATGGCCGCCAGCGCCGAGGACGGGGATGAATCTGAATTTCCACCCGTGATAGAACTAAATGTTGGCGGTGTTTTTTACACAACATCCCATGCTACTTTAACCAAAGAATCCAATTCCTTATTGGCACAGCTTTTTGGAGGAACCATTGCATCAGGACCTTATAGGGACTCAAAAGGCAAATTTTTCGTTGATAGAGACGGTGTGTTATTCAGATACATTCTGGATTATCTACGGGACCAGAAGATAGTTTTGCCGGAGAATTTCCACGAGAGAAAAAGACTAAGACACGAAGCCGAGTATTTTAATTTGCCAGGTCTCATAGCCAAGCTGGACTCCATTCCGGGTGCCAATTCCCCCTCTTCCTTTCTAGCCAGCTCATTCCCAGTAAACTTGGGCTTACCCGGTGCCCCAACTGGTCCACAAGGTTATATCATCATCGGATATAGAGGTACATTTGCTTTTGGACGAGATGGTCTGGCTGATGTCAAATTTCGAAAATTAACACGGATTTTGGTCAGTGGTCGTGTGAATCTCTGCCGTGAAGTTTTTGGAGAAACACTCAATGAGAGTCGTGATCCAGATCGTGGTAGCGATTGCAGGTATTCCGCAAGATTTTTCCTCAAACATAACTTCCTTGAACAAGCGTTTGATAACCTTCAGGAGGCTGGATTCCGATGCGTGGCTGCTGCTGGTTCGGGAACTTCATGCGGAGGAATCGGTGAACCAATGAAACCAGGCATGGACAGTGAGGAAAACAGATGGAATCACTACAATGAATTTGTTTTCACAAGACCCTGAGAAAAGCACACCGTGAAATTAACTATAGACTACACCAATTCTTTTTTGTGGTCCCACATATTTTCCCTTTCCTAATTGACAATTGTGTGTAAATAAATAATATTATCCAGTGTTCGCCAGTACGCAATTTTTGATGGCATTATCTTTGTCCATAATAATGGTGTGAAAGCAATGTTTTTCTAGATTTTCAAGTGAAGATCATCTACAAGATTCAAAGAGACTAAAAGTTATTTGGGCTGATGGTATAATTTAGTAGCTGTCTTTTAGAAAAGAATACAAGGTATAGTTAAAATTTATTCCCAAATACTTTTTTATTCATTAAATTTTAATATTTTTTAATTAACTAAAATTTGTACACATAAAAGTTCCTTTAAAATTTATTTGAGCTGTAATTTTAATTTCTTAATATCTAATTTTAGATGATTATTTTTTATGATTAACAAATGCTTATATTTATGGTATGAATTTTAATTTAAACAATAGTTTTCTTTGTTTTTGATACATGCAAATTTCTATTTAACATATCTTTCTAATGTTATATAGAGCTGCAATAAAATATTTGTATTTACTTAATAGATGTGTTGACTATTTTCATACCCTTTGTTTTTATCTGCTAGTTTTGTTGATTAGAACTAACTATTTTGTGACATTCATTTTGTTGTTTCTACAGTTTTTTTTCCCGAAATTTTCCTCTAATTATTACAGTGTTTCCATAGACCCATTTTATCCCTCCAGCTTTTAGTGGTATGCTGTTTACCAGTTCCATGCCATTCTTGTTGCAAAGTATATCAACTGCTAGTTATATCGTATGCAAAGTTGCAATAAACTACGCTTTCTTTTGTATTTATCATTGTCCAATTTTGTCAAACTTGGGCGAACACTGGCTGAAAATTAGATTCATGTTTTATACGAATATGTTAGCCCAATAACATTCACTTAATTCTCATGTTTTGATATCGCAAGGAGGGGTGACTTGTTATTGACTGTGCAAGCATTTTACACAACTTTTTGGAAAGTTTACACTTGTTAAGAATTAAAATATATTCATTTATTGGTTTAACTTCAAAAAAAAAACTATTTTTATGAGAAACATTTCTTAATGGCATTTTATATAGTAGCGAAGTTCTTATCTGTGAGAAGAACAAAAAATATAGAAAAGAAAACCTGTTACGAAATATAATTTTTTTCTAATTTTCAGATTTTCTTGAATAAAAAAATAAATTATAAACTATCTCAGTGAGATTCAAAGTAAAGGTTTGTAAATGAAGAAAACTTGAATAATCCTATTTAAAGAAACAGTATTTTTCTAGCCAAGAAATTTTTATTTAATAAGCATCTTTCATGCCAATATCCATTTAATAAGGATTTGTCATAGCTATTTCTCTTTAATGAGTATCATAATTAAAAAAAATTATGATTATCTTTTACACAAGTATTTATTTGATGAGTATTTCTTATGAACGTTTCTTTTGAATGAGTATCTTTCGTGAATTTTTTATTTTTTAATAAGCATTTGTTACGAATTTGTGGATTCAAAGAGAATCTTTTATGAAAGTTTTTCTAATCAGTCTCTTTCGTAATAGTTTTTCTTTTAAATATACCATGAAAGTTTATTCTTTTTTTCATAATTAAAAAAAATTAGTATCATAATTAAAAAAAATTATGATTATCTTTTACACAAGTATTTATTTGATGAGTATTTCTTATGAAAGTTTCTTTTGAATGAGTATCTTTCGTGAATTTTCTTCTTTAATAAGCATTTGTTAAGAATTTGTCGATTCAAAGAGAATCTTTCAAGAAAGTTTTTTCTGATCAGTCTCTTTCATGATAGTTTTTTTTTAAATAGACCATGAAAGTTTATTCTTTTTTTCATAATTAAAAAATATTAGTATCATAATTAAAAAGAAATTATGATTATCTTTTGCACAAGTATTTATTTGATGAGTATTTCTTATGAACGTCTCTTTTGAATGAGTTTCTTTCGTGAATTTTTTTCCTTAATAAGCATTTGTTATGAATTTGTCGATTCAAAGAGAATCTTTCATGATAGTTTTTTTTAAATAGACCATGAAAGTTTATTCTTTTTTGAGAATCAAATATCTTTTTATGAGCATATTCCCTAAAAGTGACCTGAAAGATGCTTTTCAATAAATTTCTAGTACTGGTTCTATTTACAATAAAGGTGGTACAATACCGAGTCACCCCGTTTTGCGGTAAGTGATCATGAAAAGTTGCTTGTTGTTTATAAACTAAAATATTCTCACATGAGAAATTTTTCTTATAGAATACAACAATATGTATCTTTACAGATGTATGCATATTTAGAACTATTATTCACTTCTTTAACACTTTCAACACTGATATCTATATAAAACTGGATTGCTTATTGGTGTTGCAACCTATGGTAGCGCATAATGCTCACTGAAACCACATTAGAAGAAACATATGGAATAGAATAAGTTAAGAAATAATTCAGTGATCAATAAATACTTCATAATTTGACTTAAGAATAGTATTTTTGAGAATTGAAAGTATGTAAAGATTATAATTAAGATTATATTATGAGAAATTCTCTATATTTCTCTAACTTATAGGCAAATTCTTTAGAAATAAAATTAATTTTGATTTTTACACAATTGCATTATAATGTCTTGTTTTAAAACCATTTATCAATGTTGCATTCGCAAAACTTGAAATGAGAAATCTTATTTGTAGAATGAGAAAAATAATTAACTTCATCTTTCGTTAATTTCTCATAATGGAATAGAAAGTCAATAAATATATTTTCAATTATTAGTTTAAAATACTTTTATAAACTACTTTTTTTTAATTATTATAACAATTGCTTTGATTTTTATTTCTATTTTTAGAAATTGAATTATTATTTGTATACAGCACATAAAATTCTGGAAAAATTATATCACTCCTTGAGTTATGGAAAATTTCTTGCTAAATTAGAAAATTTTCATTAACATTATTCAAAATATAATAATTGTCAATAATATTAATTTCTATTGAACTCAGAGGAAAAATCATTGCAAAACATCTTGTTAATTTTTTGCATTAGCATTCTCAAAGTATAGTTCATGCAGCTCTCCAACACTATTATCTAACACTATTTTATTTAAAATTATTTCCTTTAAATTTCTTGATTACAATGAGTTAAATGTTTTGATAATTTAAAATAATTATTTTTGAAATTCTGCATTCATGAAGTTTAAAATGAAAACAAAAAAAATAAGTTACAGAAAATTAATTCGTCAATTGTTTGTAAAGTGTTTATTTTTACATTCTTTTCAGAAAATTTAAATAAGTCAGTTCCGGAAAGATGCAGCTTATGAATATTTCTTTCAAACTATTGTTTTATTTTCTAGCAATTATTATTCAATCCTCATATCTTAATCTCTATTTTTGTTTACATATTATTTTCGGTTGGCAAGTTTGAAATGCTAACATAAAAACAATAAAATGTGTTCTACTTAATTTTGCCTAATTTTAATTTGAATTAAATAGTTAAAAGTAAAAAAAGCTGTAAAATAATGGTTGAAAAATGGTTTAATCTTGATTTATATTATTTGTCAATAATGGTTTTCATTGCTATTACACGCTTGTAAATTTTGAATGATGTTCGCATTATTTGTGAGTATAAACAAATGGTGAGTAAATAATTAAGAAAATTAATAAGTATTTCAGGAATACCTATCGATGATATAGATTTAATTAACACCGATTTTTGTATTTTGAAAGGGTTACATGTAGTTAAATCACTTGTTGTTCATAGGAAATTACATGTCCAGTGGAAATAAATAATACTTCTTACTGCTTTTAAAACAAAAATATAGCTATTGATTCATTTAGTACATTTAATTCCTTCCACCTATGTAAAAAAAATCAAATGTATGGTCCGGTTTATTATAAAGCTAAAAGAAAGTTTTAACTCAATAATGAAAAGCCAGATAGCTGTATTTTCTTTATTACACTTACAGTTTCTTTGATTATTTATAATGCAGTGTTCTAATACATTAAATCAATCTTAATATTTCAGACTTTACGACATAGTTTACTTTTAAATTGATAAAATTTTCTCAAAATCCGTTCATACAAACAATTTTTAAAGCACCATGTGATTGCAAAAACCATTAACAGTAGATGAAATAAGGTTTAATGCTTAATGCTTGCATTTGTAGCAGAGATCAGATGAATTTAATGCAGATTTTTGTATATAAAATACAATGTCTAAAAGCCAATCTTCATAGAAGTCATTAACAAATGAATCATGCAGATTGAAGCAAATATTGAAAAATCCTACATCCTTAATACATTTTGAGCATCTTCTGAACTAATTTTTGCAGAAAATTAAAATGCAAAAAAAATTTCAATTAATTTTTTCAGTTAACTTTTAGATATGGTAGGTGTGCAAAATTTATTCAAGAGTACAACAAAAGTCATGGCAAAATATTAAATTAGGTGAACTGGAGATATCATATATTACAAAAATTATGATTATTTGATGATTGCAATATTTTCATAATATGAAGCATATTTTGAACTCATGAAATGTATTTTGAATTTGGGAAATACATTTTAAGTTTGAGAAACATTTGAAATTATTTATATTAAATCACAATTGAATGGTTTCAATGGATTGCGATTCTGCTAATGTGGTTTTTAAACAATTTACCTTTAAAATAATAAGCTGTCCAATATATTATATAGCAATCAGTATGAGTAACTATAGCCAATGGCTTGTGATTTTTCATATAAGGCAAAGAGAAGTAATCGTTGTTCTTTTTCTTAACTGAAATGTCTTTCCGAACACACCTCAGTATTTAAGCAATCTGATTATCTTATTGTTGTTTGCAATTCACCTGTTTGGATTACATGTTTAGGAGCTGGTCAGAATTTTGTTCATATCAATATAATTATTGATGAGTTTTTAAAATGTATGCAAATTAAATTTTGCAAGCTGTAAGTTAATGTTAAAATTATTATTTAGAAGTGATTTTACATTGAAAATCAGATAATTTCATTACGCTTGAAAATGTGGCTAGTAAAATAAGAATTACTACTAGAGTACAGAAAAAGTTAGCAAAATAAGTATAAAGGTTGCCCAAAAGAAAAATGAGTGTGCGTGAAGGAATCAGAAATACAATAGCGATAACATCATCACACTTTAGGTTTATAAATTAAGGAATCAGCACCACACATTAAGTGTGACTGATTAATCAGTTCTCTTGAGAGCATTTAAAGTGAATGTAAAGTCATACTAAAGTGGATGCGTTGAATACAGAACACGTAGTAGTACTATTTTTAGTGTCAGAAGATGAGCGTAATGCTGATCCATACATCATC